AGTGCAATTTACCTTATCCTAATCGAACTAAATACAGTTTAGATAAGTTTACAATAATTTAATAAACAAACACAATGAAATATAATTTTTTCGTAAGGTTCAGAATAATTTTTGCAAGGTTCAAGGCCTGAGCTTGCTACCATCTGCAGCTCATAAGGCTGCCATCCCCACGAGCCCCTTCGAGGCGGGGTAGATGGCAGACTAGAGGCCTAGCTTCTCCCTACGAGCCCCGTGAGGGCGGGGAATGTGGCTAGGCCTGGGGACACTTGGTCCCAAAGATGAGGAGGTACTTGTCCCTCCTCCCATGGGAGACTTAAGTCTCGAAACACTCCCCAGATAGGGAGCCAAGGCCGGGTCACCACTACTTGGAAAAGACCCGGGCCTGGAGAATACCGGCGAATAAAAAAAAAAAAATAAAAAAAAATAATTTTTGCGAAATCATTGCATACACAAATTTTTGTTGCCTTATTCGGCAAGAAGGGTGTTGTTATTTAAGCCAAAATCCCAAGTTTTACTTTACGTATTCGGCACGACATATATATAGATATATATACAAAATTATTGTTTTTCTTTTTATATACCGCAAACGAGAAAGATACATGATAATATATACCTGGAAAATCCTTGAGGGACTAGTCCCAAATTTACATACGAAAAATCACTCCCTACGAAAGCAAAAGATTGGGCAAGCGGTGCAACATCCCCCAGTGAAAAGCAGGGGCGTCACAAGTACGCTAAGAGACAACACAGTAAGTGTCAGGGGCCCAAGACTAACTGCCTCCCAGCATACATAAAGGGATTACTAATAGACCCCTGGTTATTTTCAAGACGGCGGTGGACTGGTACCTAAAGTCAGTACCCGGCCACCCGGGCTGTGGTTCGTATGTCTGCGTGCGGGCAGCAGTAACAGCCTGGTTGTTCATGCCCTGATCCACCATGAGACCTGATCACAGACCGGGCCACAGGGGCGTTGACCCTGAAACCCTCTCCAGGTATCTCGCACTAGTGTAGAGTGTTCTCCCCCCCCCCCTATCCACGACAGAAAACAAGGAAATATATCCACCATCATTCATTCAACAGAAATACGCACATTTAAATATTCAAATAACCCTCTGAAATGCAATATCCCCCACTGTTATTTCAGGGTGGAGCCTCTGTGCAATACTTCCCACCTTCAAAATGGCTTTCTGTTTTTTACAAAACTGGATCACATTCAGTAATACACCTGGAAAGCTCCTGGATACGTATTTAGGCTGTGTAGATGCAAATTTGTTAATTTATTAAGACAGTTAATAAGCTTGGAATTATTGGATTCTGTGCGATAACTGGAGAAAGCATTGCCTGGTCTCTTATTTATTTTGTTTTAGCATTGGTATTTTTTTTAATAAAGTAATTCTTATTCTTGTAGTTTGAGGCCTGGTATGAGACCTGGCGGCGGGGACAATGATTTCCTTGACCAATAACTATTTCAAGGATCAAGGTTTTTATTGATGCTTCGAAAAGTAGATGGATGTGGATTTTTCTGTGATACTTCCTCTCAAGGTAAATAGATGATTTGCGCTCCCCTTTGGATGGAACTTAAATGCCTCATATTTCTCAGGCACTAAATGACCCCTACGACTTTATTCCTTCCCCCTGATTACACCACCCAGATGTGTGTGATTACACAACCCAGGGCAACACAGATTTAGAGCAGGTCGCTCCTGCCTGTCCCAGCTACTGGACCACTATGACAGGGTCCTGGATGCTATAGAGGCTAAACAAAATGCAGATGTAGTATACACAGACTTTCAAAAGCTTTCGACAAGTGTGACCATGGTGTAATAGCGCACAAAATGCGTGGTAAAGGAATAACAGGAAAAGTTGGTAGATGGATCTATAACTTCCTAACAAATAGAACACAAAGAGTAATAGTAGAGTAAAGTCCGAGGCAGCTACGGTGAAAAGCTCTGTTCTAGAAGGCACAGTACTCGCTCCCATCCTATTCCTCAACCTCATATCTGACATAGACAGAAATGTAAGCCATGGCTTTGTGTCTTCCTTTGCGGATGACACCAGAATTGCCATGACAGTGTCCTCCATCGAAGACACCGCAAGACTCCAAGCGGACATCAACCAAATCTTCAGTTGGGCCACTCAAAACAATATGAAGTTCAATGAAGAGAAATTTCAATCACTCCGATATGGATAACTTAAGGGAATTAAAACTGTATCAGTGTATACAACAAATTTTAACTGTACAATAGAGCGAAAAAGTAGTGTAAAGGACCTGGGAGTGATAATGTCACAGGATCTCGCCTTCAAAGACTACAACGATGTATCTACCGCATCTGCTAGAAAAATGATAGGATGGGTAATGAAAACCTTCAAAACTAGGAACGCCAAGCTCATGATGATTCTCTTTAAATCGCATGTTCTCTCTAGGCTAGAATACTGCTGCATACTAACCGCCCCCTTCAAGGTAGGCGAAATTACTGACCTGGAGAGTGTACCGAGAACTTTCACGGCACACATAAGTACGATAAGGCATCTAAATTACTGGGAACAGTTGAGGGCCCTTGATTTGTATTCCCTGGAACACAGAAGAGAGAGATACATGATAATATACACTTGGAATATCCTAGAGGGATTAGTACCAAACTTGCACACGAAAATCATTCCCTATGAAAGGAAAAGAATCGGCAGGAGATGCAACATTCCCCTAATGAAAAGGAGGGGCGCCACGAGTACACTGAGGGAGAACACAGTAAGTGTCAGGGGCCTAAGACTGTTCAGCTGCCTCCCAGCATACATAAGGGGGATTACTAATAGACCCCTGGCTGTCTTCAAGAAGGCACTGGACAGGCACCTAAAGTCAGTACCTGACCAACCGGGCTGTGGTCCGTACGTCAGTTTGCGCGCGGCCAGCAGTAACAGCCTGGTTAATCAGACCCTGATCCACCATGAGGCCTGGTCTCAGACGGAGCCGCGGGGGCGGTGACCCCCGAAACCCTCTCCAGGTAAACATAGGGGGAATGAAATTTATGACGACGTCTCGGTCCGACTTGCACCATTAACTAGAGAGACAAGTGCGAAGGGAAGAGAGCCAATATATATACGAGAGGGACGCGGGCGGGGCAGGGAGAACGAGAGGAGGTAGTAGTATAAGGGTAGTAGCAGTGGTAGAGGTAGTAGTAAGTAGTGCATTAGTGGCAGAGATGGTAATAAGAAGGTGGTAGTAGTAGTAGTGACAAGATTCAGAGTATAGTATTAGCGAAGCAATATTTGTTGCAGTAGTGAAGGTACAGTCAGTCTAAGGACAAGAGAACTGTGAACTGAAGCGAGGTTGTAAGTACATGGAGTTATGCTGGTGCTCGCCGAGGTTTGTCTGGCTCCTGGGTAATGAGTGGGCAGATACGATGGCAAAAAAAAGCTATTGTATCATGTGCTCTCAACAACAGACCTTTGTCTTGAAACCTAAGTTTTTTTCTTCGCTAATGTCAGGATTGTGCAATTTGGAACCAGGTTTTTGTCTTAATGACTTTCTGGGAGCGCGTAAAAGGTAAAAAAAAAAAAATCCTTATTGGGTTAATCCAGAAGATGTAACTCAGGATGACAGTGTGGCTTATTTTCATCGAGGTTATTTAGTGATGAAGATTCGGCCCACAAACAGTCAACTAATATTCCTCTGTCTATTACTAGTTGAACAGACAACGTTATTATTGCATTTAGAGGGAAGCGCTAAACACGTAAGGATCATACAAAGCAGGGGAAAATAGGAGGCAATCAGGTTAAATCCAAAGAAAGGAAAGACAGATCCAGTTCTTTGCATAAAAAAACTCAAGAATCTCGGTGGACAGTAACAGAGGTAGCACGAGTCTCTGCCAGTCATCTCGCCACCACCAGGGCTTGAACCCAGATAATTCACATGCGAACCGAACGCGCTACCCATGAGCTACGTAAGAGAAAAAAAAGTGATTTATAATAATGAATTTTACACACACCCTGAATCTAAACAGGACAAAACGTGAGTGTTCGGCTATCTTTATCTTACAGATCATTAAGGATAAGCTTGAGGATTAGAAATATGCATCTCGGACATTACTGTCAATATTTGCGGCTCTACAGACGTTGAGAAATGATCTGGTGATACCGACAAGATGTGGAAAAAGATACTTATGTACACTTCAGGACAATTATTAACGGAAATCTTTCGCCACGAGGGACTTCTTCAGTCTTAATACAGAGAAAACTAAGAAAACGAGTATATATAGTGGAAGAAGTGAGGTGAAATGTTGCGTGGGAAGCACTAGTAGTGGTAGTAGTAGTATTAGTGGTAGTAGTAGTGGTACTAATAGTGGTAGTATTGGTATTAGTCGTAGTGGTGGCAGTAGAGTAGTAGTAGTGGTGGTAGTCGTAGCCGTAGTGGTGAGACGGGTTGGGTTTAATAAATGTCCTAAACTCTACATAAGTATCTTTTTCTACAGACGCTCTCTGTACTCGTCTAGCTTGCAGAGGTGAAAGTTTAGCTCCTGGTCCCGGTGTGTGCCCGTTTGTAATGGGAGAATTCTTGACATACTATCACCGAGGTGCATTTCGGGATATACTCAGCAAGGTGCTTGTCGGTATTGTGTTTCCTTGATGGGATTTTAAACGAGGCGCTGTGTTTTAATTTAGTGTGAGTTATTGTATTTATTGTTTTATTGTTGTAGTTGTGTGAGAGCGTTTCATAATGCTTTTTAATGTGTGCTAATGTGATGGAATTTATGTCCTTTTTTTGTACAGAGGTTGTATAGGGTGAAAATTTGAGGCTTATCTGATAAGCCATTTGTAAGTTATAAATAAAAGCCTCGAAGGAAGGTGTATATAAATGTGTATATAAATCTTTATAATTCTTGACTGCATTCCAAATAAGGGAAATAGTGTGTAGAGAGGAAAGTATGTAACTGTGTGCTGTGTTTTACAGAGGTCTGGTGTTACTGTGTCACGGTAGGTAGGTAACTGTGTGCTGTGTATTACAGAGGTCTGGTGTTCCTGTGTCACGGCTTTGGTGAGCACTTACAGTGGTATGAAGACCTTGCTCTCCACCTCTCAGCTACAGGATTACTGGCCTTCGGTCACGACCACGGTATGTGTGTCTCACTCCACTTACCCCATTACTAACTTCATAGTAGATGTGTATTTCTTACTCCACACCCATCATTGACTACATGGTGTTTCTCACTCCACTCACCCCATCCCTGACTTCAGCAGCCTTCTTTAAAGCAGGTTCCTCTATGGTGACATTTTGACAGCCTGAATTGCCCTAGAACCCAGGAGCCCATTTTTCGGCCCTAATAATAGAAAGATTTACCTTTTCCTTAAAATTTCCTGTGACTTATATCGGATGATTTAGGAGGAATTGTGGTCTTGATGTGTGAAAGGTCAATAATTTTGTTCACGATGATTTATGCATTATGTCCATAAATTAATTTTAATAGTAGCAATTTAGTGAAGACAGTATACAAATGTAGTATTAAATTCTTTATATATGTAAGAGAGAGAGAGAGAGAGAGAGAGAGAGAGAGTGAGAGTATCGATTAATTGATTAAAATGTTGAGTAAGCAAACGGGTGCACTGCATAATGGATGCAACAGCAGCTCCTTGCTTCACAGAGGTGCAGGCGTGCACTTGTAAACTTGTTCCTGGGGTGAAGGTGAAGCTTGTTATTTACAAGGTAATTGATCAGCAGTGACGCTGCTGATAGTGAATAAAGTAAAATGAAAGTGAAAGTTAAGACACATGTGCAACATCTGGATATCTTTATTGTAGACGTTTCGCCATCCAGTGGCTTTATCAATACAGATTCTAGGACATAATAGGAAGACAGTAGAACTATATACAAAAGATGAGGTAATCAGTCCCTCGGCCTTGGAGTTAGTGTTCACAGCATCGTGGTGGAGGAGAATCTGAAGCAAAGGCAAGAAGACTGGCGTTTATATAGGCGTCAGTGGAAGGGACGGGCAGCAGACGAGGGCAGTCACTGGTAGGCGGGATTCCCCAGTGGAAGTAGGTCCTTCCCAAAGAGATGGGTTGCAGCAGCCGTGAAGAAAGTCTTGTAGATGTCCTCTGAACCAAGATTCCATGATGTTGCAGTGTCTGACAAGTTGTGCAAGAAAGGTATAAAATACCGACAATATGAAAGTTAAGACACATGTGCAACATCTGGATATCTTTATTGTAGACGTTTCGCCATCCAGTGGCTTTATCAATACAGAATCTGTATTGATAAAGCCACTGGATGGCGAAACGTCTACAATAAAGATATCCAGATGTTGCACATGTGTCTTAACTTTCATATTGTCGGTATTTTATACCTTTCTTGCATAAAATAAAAGTGTTACAGTGAAGAGAAAATAAGATCTGGACACACTTGCTGTATACACTCTACCCTTCAAGGAACATAAGAAAGGAGGAACAATGCAGCAGAGAAATGGTCTGGTGAAACCGACAAGGTGTGGAAAAAGACACTTATGTACAGGTCAGGACATTTATTAAAGGAAACGTTTCACCACGAGTGACTGTATTAGGACTGAAGAAGCCACTCTGTGATGTAGAAGGGCGAAACCCTCTCCAGGTATACTCCAGGTATTGGATGACGTAGTCTTCACCTCTCTTACCTTCAGTATGTCTCCATGCAGAGGCATCTGTCTCAGATTCATGGAGACTGTTGGATGGAATACCATCTTTCTAGGCTGAGGCACTGATCTTATCATATTACTTCTTCACTCTGTAATATTATTAATAAAACCACTGATTACTTGAAACGTTGTCATAGAGATACCTAAGTGTTGCACATGTTTATCTATAACCATTGGGGGTCTTTGCTCCTCTCCATACAATGATACCACAGTCGACTAACACTCGGGTACCTGTTTACTGCTAGGTGAACAGGGCCAGCAGCTGTAATAAAATACAACTATAAAACATTCAATAGGTACACTACCTGGCGCTGTCTATCACCTACTTTCTTCCCCATAAATCGCAACCAACAGAAAATCGGAAAGTGTAAATTTTCTGCTAGTCTCATGCTGGACTGCATGCGGCTGGCACCAACAGCCTGGTTGATCAAGTCATGAACCAGCCTGGTCCGGGATCGGGCCGCCGGGGTAGCAACCCCCGGAATAGTCTTCAAGTAACGGTATGGGGGTGTAGATGGATGGTTCAGAGAACCGACATGTTGATAAATTAGACACATGTGCAACTCTTGGGTATCTTTATTGAGGAAACGTTTCGCCACACAGTGGCTTCATCAGTCCATACGTAGGAGAAACTTGAAGAACAGGAGGAGAATGAGGTAATCAGTCCCTCAACCTTGAGTCGATGTGTTCAGTCCATCAATCTAGAGTAGAATACGGCATATGAGCGGAGAAGCAGCTTATAAACCGTATGGCAGGAGAGGTGTAGCCATAGGGGTTTATAAGCCTGCTCCGCTCATATGCCGTATTCTACTCTAGATTGATGGACTGAACACATCGACTAAAGGGTTGAGGGACTGATTATCTCATTCTCCTCCTGTTCTTCAAGTTTCTCCTACGTATGGACTGATGAAGCCACTGTGTGGCGAAACGTTTCCTCAATAAAGATACCCAAGAGTTGCACATGTGTCTAATTTATCGGTATGGGGGTGCATATTAAAGATATTAAAATAACAAGTAACATCTCCACCTGCCTCAGGATGAACCCGGGTCCTTGGCACGAGCTTAAGGGTTCAAGCGCAGAACCCAGACCCACTTTCATGTCTTGGTTCATTAGCATGTCTGTAGCCTCTTTTGTGAGCAGTAACAAGTGTCATTGTGTCCGGTCTAAGACACACTTCCGACCCTGCTGCTCTTGTGGATGCTGCTGGCGGGGAAGGGAGCGACAGTGGCATGATAATAAGTAGAGAGAACTAGTGAGAGCTAATAAAAATGAGTCAAACTCTGCCACTTCCTGGCCTAGATGAAATTAAAGAGGTCATAAAAGAATAGCTGACGAGTCTTTAAGCTGGCACCAAAGCCTGCACCAACAATTTCATGAACCTTAACTATAAGAGATGATAATTGGATAGGGTTTCGGGGTTCAACGCCTCCGCGGCCCGGTCTGTGACCAGGCCTCATGGTGGCTTAGGGCCTGATCAACAAGGCTGTTACTGTTGGCCGCACGCAATCCTACGTACGAATCACAGCGGGGCTGGTCAGGTACTGACCAGCCGAGTGTAGAAATATAGAATATTATTGCAGTCATGGGGTTAGACAGCACCTAGGGCAAGGGAGGTAATCAGGTGTGATTCAAGGAAGGAGAGGAAAAATCAGAATCCTTGGACCAAAAGCCATTCACCAGCAGGCAGGCACTGTTGGAAGGTAGGAACTGGGTTTGAGATTCCCCTTCCCGGTCTTTGGCCCAGCACCAAGTTGTCTACTTTATCTGCGACACCCCTTGTGGCCAGTGCTTGCTGCCAGGCTGCTGGGTGGTTTTTTTTTTTTAAAAATGCCGCCCGGGGTACTCTGCGTTACTGCCGCCAGGCTGACTGCTGGTTCCCGCCGCCAGCTTACTGCTTTGTTACTGCCGTCAGGGTGACTGCCCCTTTACTGCCGCCAGGGGACTGCTTTTTTTACTGACCCCCCAGGGGGACTGCTGTGTTTTCTGCCCCCAGGGTGACTGCTGTGTTTTCTGCCCCCCAGCTGACTGCTGTGTTTTCTGCCGCCAGGGTGACTGTTGTTTATTGCCCCCCAGGCTGACGCTGTGTTTACTGCCGCCAGGCTGACTGCTGGTTACTGCCGCCCGGTTGACGTTTTTGTTACTGCTCCAGGCCCGATGCTGTGTTACGCCCCCCCAGGGGACTGCTGTGTTTAAATGCCGCCAGCTGTTTCGGGGTTACGCCGCCAGGGTGACTGCTGTTTACTCCGCCAGGCTACTGCTGTGTTACGGGCCCCCAGGGTGCGCTGTGGTTTTCCCGCCGGGCCCGGCTGACTGCTGTGTCAATGCCGCCAGGCTGACTGCTGTGTTTAAAGGCTGACTGGTTGGGTTTGTGCCCCAGGCCCGCTGCTGTGTTACTGCCGCCAGGCCGACGCTGTTTTAGGCCGCCAAGGGGGTTTCTGTGTTACTACCGCCAGGGTTTACCCGCGTGTTTCTGGGTGCCCGGCTGACTGCTGTGTTTTTTTGCCGCCAGGCTGACTGCTGTGTTTTTTGCCGCCAGGCTGAATTTCTTTTCCCCTTTCGGGGGACCCGCTGTGTTAGTGCCCCCAGGGTTTACTGCTGTGTTACGGCTGACTGCTGTGTTTTTGTGGGCCCCCAGGCTGACTGTGTGTTTCTGCCGCCACGACGGGTGTTTAAAGGGTGACTGCTGGTTACTGCCCGCCAGGCTGACTGCTGTGTTAAAAGGCTGACTGGGGTTTTTTACTGCCGCCAGGCTTACTCTGTGTTACTTGCCGCCAGGGGGGGACTGCGTGTTTTTTCTGTCGCCAGGCTACGCTGGGTTTTTCTGCCGCCAGGCGACTGCTGGTTTTCTCCGCCAGCCCGACTGCTGTTTTTACTCCCCCGGCGGACTGCTGTGTTACGCCGCCAGGCGAACCCGCTGGGGTTACGGCTGACTTTCTGTGTTAGTGCCGCCAGGGGACTGCGTGTTACGACTGCCGCCAGGCCGACGCTGTGTTTTGCCGGGAAACTGATTGCTGTTTTACTAAACCCCCAGGGTGACTGCGGTTTTTACTGCTGCCAGACTGACTGTTGTTTACGGCCCCCCAAGGGTGACTGCTGTGGTTTCCTTTCCGCCAAGGGGTGGGGGGGCTGTGTTTTCCCGCCGCCAGGGTGATTGCTGTCTTACGGCTACTTCTGTGTTTGTTTTCCCCCTGGTTGACTGCTGTGTTAAAGGCTGACCCGGCCCGTGTTAGTGCCGCCCCGGGTGACTGCTGTGTTTCTGCCCCCCAGGGTGACGCTGTGTTTTTCGGCTTTACTCTGGGTTCTGCCGCCCGGCTGACTGCCCGTGTTACGGCTGACCCGCTGTTTACTTTTCCCCAGGGTGACCGCTGTGTTTTCCCGCCGGGTGACTGCTTGGTTTTCGTCCCCCAGGCTGACTGCTGGGTTAAATGCCGCCCGGGTGCTGCTGTGTTTTCTGGCCCCCAGGCTGACTGCTTGTTACTCCGCCAGGCGGACGCTGTGTTTCTTTCCGCCACTGACGCTGTGTTACGCCGCCAGATTGACTGCCGGTTTTTACGCCGCCAGGGTGCCCGCTTGTTAAATCTGCCGCCAGGCGACTGCGTGTTACTACCGCCAGGCTGACTGCTGTGTTTTCGCCGGCCCCGGGTGACTGCTGTGTTAACGGGCCCCCAGGCCCGACTGCTGGGGTTTTTTTTTGGGCCCCCGGCTGACGCTGTGTTACTGCCGCCGGGTGACTGCTGGGGTTCCCGCCCCCCCAGGCCCGACGCTGTGTTACTGCCGCCAGGGGGACTGCTGTGTTACTGGGCCCCCAGGGTGACTGCTGTTTAACCCGCCCCCCAGGCTGACTGCTGGGGGTTTCTGCCGCCAGATTGACGCGTGTTTTACTGCCGCCAGGCCCGACGGTGTGTTTACTGGGCCCCAGGGTGACTGCTGTGGGTTTCTGCCGCCACACTGACTGCCCGTTTTTTCTAAAACCCCCAGGGTTTACTCTTGGTTTCAAACCGGGCCCGGCGAATTTTGTGTTACTGCCGCCCGGTGACTCTGTTTACTGCGATTCCTTTTGTTTAAAAGCTGACTGCTGTGTTACCTGCCGCCAGACCCGACTGCTGGGGTTTTCTGCTGGCTTTCTTTGGTTACTGCTCCATGGGTGACTGGTGTTTTACCTTTCCGCCAGGCAAGTGCGTGTTAAAAGGTAATTTCTGTGGGTTCTGCCCGACTGTTTTTGTTACTGCCCCTAGGCTGGCTAAGAATTTCTTTCCGCCCCGGGTGACGGTTTTACTGCCGCCAGGCTGATTGGGTGTGTTATGGGGACTTCTTTGTTTACTCCGCCGGGCGACTTGGGTGTGTTACTGCCGGGCCCGCTGCGGGGTTTAAAGGCTGATGCTGTGTTAGTGCCGCAAGGCTGACTGCTGTGTTTTACTGCCCGGGCCCGGCTGAAAAAATGCTTGTTAAAAGCCGCCACGACTGCTGTTTATTGCCGCCAGGCTTATTGCTGGGGTTTTTCTGCAGACGTAGTGTTAATGCCGCCAGGCTGAATTTTTGTGTTTTCTGCCGCCAGGCTACTGCTGTGTTACTGTCGCCAGGCTATTCTGTTACTGCCGCCAGGGTTACTGCTGGGGTTTAAATGCCCCCAGGCTACTGTTATGTTTTCCGGTGCCGCCAGGGGGGGGAAAAATTTTTGTTACTGCCGCTAGGCGCTGCTGGTTTTCTGTCGCCAGGGTTTACTATTCTATTTCTGCCGGGCCCGGGTGACTTTGTGTTACTTTCCGCCAGGCGACTGCTGTTTTTACCCGGGTGACGCTGGTTCTGCCGCCGGGCTGACTGCTTTTGTTTCGCCGCCAGGGTTTCTGTGTTACGGGTGAAATTTCTGTGTTAGTGCCGCCAGGCGACTGCTTTGTTTTCTGCCCCCCAGGCTGGGCTGCTGGTTTTTAAAGCCCAGGCTGACTGCTGTGTTATTGGGGGCCAGGCTGATTTTTTGTTTAATGCAGACTGTATTTTTAATGCCGCCAAGGGGGGGACTGTTGTGTTTACTGCCGCCAGGGTTGGGCTTCTGTTTTACTTGGGCGCCAGGCTATTCCCGTTACTTGGGGCCCCCCCGGCTGACTGCTGTGTTTACTGCCGCCAGGGTGACTGTTGTGTTACTGCCCGCCAGGCTTCTGGGTTTTGTTACTCCGCTAGGCTGACTGCTGTTTTAAACCCGTCGCCCGGGTGACTATTCTATTAATGCCGCCAGGCTGACTGTTTTTGTTCCCGGGCCCCCAGGCTGACCCCTGTTTTTACTGTCGCCAGCCCCGACTATTTTGTTACGCCCCCCAGGCTGACGTGTGTTTTCTGCCGCCAGGCCCGACTTTTTGTTTTACTGCCGGGCCCGGGTGACTTTTTGTTTACTGCCCCCAGGGTGACTGCTGTAAATTTTTTGGGCCCCAGGCTGCTCTGTTTACTTTTCCGCCAGGGTGATTGGTGGGGGTTTCGGGTGACATGCGGCACCAAACCCTGGGTGACCACGGTTTTTAAAACCCCCCAGGCTGACTACGGTGTTGGGGACCAAACCCGGGGAAATACGGTGTTTTTTCCACCAGCTGACTACGGTGTTTTTTACCACCAAGGGTTTTACTAAAGTGTTATTACCACAGGGTGACTACGGGTTATTACCACCCCAGGCTGACAAAGTGTTATTAAACCCCCAGGCTACTACAGTGTTATTAAACCCCCCGGCCCGACCCAAGTGTTTTTTACCCCCCCAGGGTGACTACTGGTTTTTTTACCCCCAGGCTGACTACGGTGTTATTTACCACCAGGGGTGACTACGGTGTTATTACCACCCCGGGGTGCTACGGGGTTTTTTACCACCCAGGCTGACTACAATGTTATTACCCCCCAGGCCCACTACGGTGTTTTTTACCACCAGCTGACCTTTCAGTGTTTAAATTTCCCCCAGGCTGACTAAATTTGTTATTTCCCCAGGCTGACTACAGGGTTTTTTACCCCCCGGGTGACCCACGTGTTTTTACCACCAGGGTGACTACAAGGGTTTTTTACCACCTGGCTGAAATACGGTGTTTTTTTTACCACCAGGGGGAAATACCCGGGTTACCACCCCCCGGCGACTACAGTGTTTTACCACCCCGGCGACAAAGGTGTTTACCACCCCGGGTGACTAGGGGGTTATTACCACCAGGCTGACTACGGTGTTATTAAACCCCCAAACTGACTACAATGTTAAATTTCCACCAGGCGACTACGTATCATGTGGGGGTTTTATAAAATTTTGGGTTTGGGTGAAATACTCACTTTGGGTGTTTTTTACTGTAAATTTTCTGTTATGTTTTTCAGGGCCCTTGCCAGCCCTGGGTTTTCTCCTTTCTTCCACCGTAAAAAAATGGCAGCCCGGGTGGCCAGTACCCCGCAGTGGGTGTTTTGGGAAAAAGTGTCAGCTCAACACAATATGAAACGTGACCAAAACGGTTTGGGCCCTGAGTCAAAAGGGCACTGGTTTTCGGTAACTGGTTTCTACGTTACTACTACCCGAGATTACGGGAACTGGTTACTTTCGTTACTACTACTGGATTAAAGGTGTTTTACCACCAGGCTGACTAAAAGTTTAAATTTCCACCCCTGACTACGGGGTTTTTACCACC